AAGAGCATCCCTGAGAAGAGTGCGCTCCATCCTCAGAAACCATCAAGGAGCCACGTGGCAACAGCGTGGGGAGGCGGGAAGCTGCTCCCTTGATCTGGGAAGGTGACTGACTGTCTGAATGAGGGCAGCAGAGGCCACCTAACTAGCTACTCAGATGCCAGGTTAGCCTTGTGTCCGGGCAGTGGCGAGTCACCCCTTCGTTACGTTGCGGAGGCTCCTAGAGGCTAACGCAGAACCTAGCAACAGGCCTTATACGAGTGGTTGTAAGAACAGCTGCAAACCCCGTAGCTCGGTTTTCTCCGCATTCAGCTCCTTCCTTTCACAGAAAAGCACTGGTCCCTCCAGGGTCTGCAATCACACGGTCTCGCCCCGGGAAGGACCCCGGGGCCATTCTGCCCAGCCAGTGCAGGATTCCCACCAGGACTCCTTCCCTAAGGAATGGCCACCCACCTCTACTCACATATGCAATAACTATGTCAGAAGAACATTCTAGAAACAAACCCTCCTCCAGTTTGAATGTTCCGGTGCGAGAGCCACGGCCTCTGAGCAGCTCCCTCCGGGCTGCCGGACAGGGTTTCTTACTGGTGAGTTCTGCTGAAAAAGCCAAAAACGCCTCCTTGCCCCTTCCAAGCGTTTGAGCGTGTCTCGTGCAAGGACCCTAACTTCACACCACGCTCAAGATGCAGTGGACCTGCAGGAGGGAGAGGGGCAAGTACCCCAGGGCTCATTACTGCAGCCTAAAAGCAGATCCACTTTTAGCAGCCCTATCCCACGATCACCCATGCAGGGCAGGGGCAGGGGCAGCCCCAGGTGTCAGTCACCGGGCCTGACGAGCCGCCGCCAGCTCTCCGAGGTGCACACTGACAAATTGATTTTTTCACCTTCTATGCCAATCACCGCATTTATCCCTTTTGAATGTCACTTTCCTGGTTTGGGCCACTGCTGCCTGACCCTAAGCTTTTAGCCAAACAGGAACACGATACAGCAAACCTTCACCAACTCTAACAGCGACCCGATCTTCCAAGGCTAACGTTCTCTGCTGCAGTAACTTCTGAAGGATTAACACGAGTTGCTGAGAAAGTACAACGGACGGTTCCCACAAAGGAACATGGCAGCCGCTTCTCAGGGGGAACGTGTCCAGGGCCACTCCGAGCACCGGTGACATCTGGAAGAGGCAGACCACTGACCTGCCACTGCTGTGACCCACGGCAGGGGCCCCAACTCTCAGCCGGCTGGAGCTCCCTGGGCGCTGTCGGGGTGCTCTCCCCCCTCATCTATCTCACTCATGGAGTGAACTTAAAGAGTTCAGGGGACCAGCAGATGCGTAATGGTTTCGTCGCTGGACCTCGCTTAGTCGACCGTGGTTCAAGTCCTGGACCCAGCAGCTTAAAATTCATCCTGGGGACCAGCAATGGCATAATGGCTATGCCACTAGACTCCCATGTAGTCCATTGCAGTTCGAGTCCTGGGCCCAGCAGCTTAAAACTCATGCCTGGCATGTGTGTGCGCACGTACCACGATCCCAAGAGGAGAATGGAGGAGAAGTGCACACGTGCCACGATCCCAAGAGGAGAATGGAGGAGAAGGGGCTGCAGCGTGGTCATCCCCCAAGGGTGGTTTCTTGCTTTCTGTCTCTCTGTCTCACTGGCAGGAACATGTGCCCTACAACAAAGATCTCTCATTTTTTTTTAAAAGGGGTTCAGGAACCTAAAATGTGAATATTATCCTTTTCACTAGAGATGGCAGGACAATTAGCCAAACAAACGTCTTCCTTCCCTGCCTGCTCTCCAGTCTGCCCCACGCCCAGTTCCATCTGTCTTCCTCCCTGATCACACACACCCACTTTCGGAGCACAGCAGTGGGCGCCCCCTGCCCTTCCACACGTCGCCCCGGCCAGCAGCCTTCGCACCCCGGCTGTTTCCTGCATGCTCTCCCGGCTTTCGGTTTCACCAAGGAACGCCGTGGGCCACTGGATGTGTTTCTAAAGAAGTGACCCGCTGCTGCCGAATCACGTGACTGCTGTCCAGCCTTTATAGCGGGCACTGCGAGGGAGCGAGCAGGGACGGCCACCTCCCACGGCTCTGGGAGAGGGAACGGGGACTGGGTGGCCACATGCAGCTGTTTCGGGAAGGGTCCCTTCCTCTGCCCCCGAGAAGCCCGTCCCCTCTCGGCAGAGGACACCGAGCCAGCACTCGTCCGCGGTGCAGCCGGCCCCTCACCGCCCGGAGCCTGTCTCGGCTCCAGGCACAATTATTTCCATACATCGCTTCAAGGGTGCAGCTAGTGGAGTCCCCCCGGGCAGAGCGGAAGCTGTGAAGACCGTTCAGAGCCTGAATGAAAACCCACAGATCGCGCGAGTACAACAGGATGGGGTACGAAAGCCGTTAACAGGACTGCAGTGGGGAAAGGAGACGCACAGCACCCCTGTAGGGGGTTCTGGCTGTCCATGGAAGGAGAACACTAACTCAGGAGAGGAAGAGGAACGGGAGGGCTCGAGGCCCAGGCCCGATGCTTATCTGGCCACTGCGCAGGCCGGGACGGCAGGAGGGCCAGCCACCGCGGAGCACCGCTGAGCAGCACGGCCCTGCATGGCCACAGCAGGCCAGGCCGGGAGAGTGGCCACTCATGCTCTGCCCCCACGGCGGTGGGCCATGCACAGCCCGTGGCCACGGCACTGGGTGCCAAGTACCCCAGGGCCCGGGCAGGCAACCTGAGCCGGCACCTCCCCGACTACATGGCGGCGCCCTCCTGCTGTTTCTGTTGGATGCAGTGTGGGTCCCCGGCCCCCAACGGCCACAGACCGCTGACAGTCAGTGTGCTGGGCTGGGTCCGGCCCGACTGCAGCTGGCGGCCCCCACACTCCTCCTAGGAGAAGCCTCTTCTCACCTCCCCTTCCGAACGCGTGTGCTTGCTGTCCAGTGACCTCGAACCCCCAGAGTTGCGAAGGCAACGTGAAAAGTCAACAAGTGAAGAAAAGGCTGGCATCTGCTTTGACAAATAACGTCGAGAGTCACTCGACAACCTCAAGAACCCTCAAACATGAAGATATTTCGTGTATCAAATTAGTGTGTTTAACAGGGTGAGGGAAAAGATGGCTTTTTGCCATGTATATTTTTGCTCACTGGATCCAAATTTAACCAAAGTATTAGCTAAGCTTGAAAATCCCAAGGCATCGCAGTGAAAATAATATCAAACTTTTAAAAAATGTCACTCGGCTTCATCCTCCCAACATGCAAGGCGGCACCTCTGCGACTCCCCCTTTATAGATAACCCTGGGGCTGAGAGGCAGAGACCTGCCCAAGGCTGACGAGTCAGACGTGGGGGGCTGCAAGTCAGGCAGGCTAGAAAGTGAACGCAGAGGTGAGCATGGGGACAGCCGTGGGTTCAGGTCAGTGGGCACAGGGACGAGGAGCCGCGGACGGCCCTGACCTTGGGAAGAGCCTCTTGGAAGACACGACTGGAAGGACACCTCAAATAAAAAGAGAAGTCTGGAGAAGGCAGCTGTCACAGGCCTCCCTTCATCATGGTGAGTGGCATCTGCTTCAAGATAGGAAAGACACATTAAACTATGCCGTCACACAGCAGGAGAGACGTGGGGGCCACTGATAAGGGGACAGTCACCGGCTCTTAATTTATTCGAAGAGG